CATACATTTATTTTAGTTATCTGCTCATAATACAGGCTATTGATACAAAGCAAAATATTGATATCAAACCTTTTAATAAATTATTAGTACTCTGTTTCTTAGTATCATGTATATGAGATACTCTACAGTCACTAATAATAATAATAATAATAATAATAATAATAATAATAATAATATCTTTATTGTCATTGCCCCCTCTCGGGGACAACGAAATTAAAGTGTCAAAGAGATGGGTCTGATTTATTGCATCGTTATGCAAATTGCTGACATGTAAAGGTGTTTTCCTTTCCCTTCCCTTTTCAGATAATGGAGTGTCTTGTGTCTTCTAAAAGAGCTGAGAATGCATCGTCTGAACAAGAGGAAAGTGAAGATGAGGTTGAGTTTGTTGGGGTATGTAAACAGTATCAATCAATCATTCATTGTATTTGACTAAAAGCCATTACAAACCTAGTTACAAAACCGGCATGTAAACAATATTTTAAATCTATAAGCAACACCGTAGTTCCCTCTAATAGCAAACTTGGGCAATTGAGTGCCTATCAGTTTGGAAACTAAACGGATAGTGGTTTCTACAGACACAGGCAACTCCTTGGATGTGCATTGTTTAAGCTTGTAAATTAAAATACTTTTTTTCAACCCTTGAAATGCCCAACAAGGAGATAAGGAATGCTGGCGGCAATTGAACTCATAGAGAGAAGAGGGAAATGGTGTAAAGAAACGTCAGGTGGACAGAAGAAGTTATTCAGTTAAATCCATAACTCAAAGCAGTTGAGATAATGGCCTGGTTTTCACATCAAGGCAAGCCAAACTATGGCTTATTGGGACCATGCAAATGTTTCCAGCCCACAATATCTGGAGAGTACATTGTTGGCTACTCCAACCTGATCCTGGAGATCTGTGTCTGAAAAGTGGTCTATAATTAGTAAATATGTAAAATAATAAATGTGTTGTGATACCTTCCATGAAGAATGCTGTGAGGGAAACCAATGTAGCCCCAGGCATTGGCCAAAGCAGCAGAGAACTTGCTTGCCCCCTCCCTACCAGACAGAACACTCTGCTCCAACTGTCAGTTGCCTGGGACTGCAGAGTACAAGCAAACCAAAGAACAGGCTGGCCTTTAACACCGGCCAGAGGGCTGCTAGGTAGGGTGATATAAGGCTTTTATCTGTTCTGAATTGTCTTGGAGAAAATTTGATAGATATGGTGTGAATCTTTAAAATAAAGTTCAAAGGATTTGAAACTAAACTTCTTCTTCTTTTTAGCACACTGTCCACATATCCGAGGAATGTGGGGGGGAAATGAGCTGTCCTTATAATGTGTCTCCTTTTATAGTTAACCTGAATTATGTGGCAGTGCATTCAGATTCCTTCAGTGCCCAAATACAGATAAATTTATTTTTGTGGGACTAGAAGACCCTCTGGGTCCCTTCCACCTTATAATTCTATGATTCTGTGTTTTCTCTTCCATAGGAAGCTGTGTTGAGACCAGTCTTGGACTGCATTGAACTTAGCAGTGGTGACGAAGACGGTAGCAGTTCTTCTAATGTGAGTGTTCCCTGCCGTTTAAAATTGTTGGACAAGAGTTTTCTTTGGAATTACTCCATTCTGTCTGTCTAAGTTTGTATCACTTGAAGGGGAGTACATATGGTTCAAATATATTCTTATTTTATCTATAAAAAGATCTCCGAGATGATTTTATTATTCTTTACTTGTTATATTTGAATACTGCACATCTAACCAATTCTCTGGGAAGTTTACAGAAGCAATAAAACACAAACTAAATCTTGAAGTAAAAACACTAAAAGCTAAATAACTTACAAAAGCAGAAAGCCCAACAACACAAAAAAAACTCCTCTATGTATGATCAGAATGGAACACAACAGCTGAAACAATTAAAACCAGCATAAACCACAGCAAAGGGGAAAAAATGATGGAAAAACTGAAGCATTGTGATAAGAAGGCTTGAGACAACAGGGAAATCTACCTGGTGCATAAATGATCATAGTGTAGGTGTCAGGTAAGGTTATCTGGGAAGGTATTCTGTAAGCAGGGGGCCGTCTCCAAAAAGACTTTCATGCTGGTAGCTGCCCACTTAGAAGATTTGAAGTGAAGGCTTGGAAAAAATGTTCCTTTATCACCACTACAAATATTTTATATGTCAATATGCCAATTTTTAAACAGTATTTAAATTCAAGCTGCAGATCCTGAGGAAACTAAGAGCAGATTCTTGCATTCTCTGTGCTTTTTGTTTTTATACATTTATTCCATGTGGGTCTTTGATGGCTTGTATGGAACCCTTGTGAACGGGTTTTTATCCTTGTGAATGTTTTATCCTTGGCAACCTTTTGCTAAAGAATTATTCTCCCCTCCCCCCGGTACATTGTTTGGGGGTTCTCCAGACCCCTGGAACCAACTAGGGGTGAGCGAGTAGAAAGCCTATACTTTCTACTGACAGGACTCATTAGCTGAATCCCAACCATGATGTCTAATTCGGTACTTAACCTATGCCAGCAGGGTCACCAGCAACTGGTGTTGTGAAGTACACTTAGTGGCTGTTGTTAAATCGGGCCCATCCCTCAAACACCTAACAATGCTGTGCAATTTACATTGCATCGTACTTGTGACAATGAGCCTTCTGACACATAGCAGCTAAGTTGAGTATGACATCCTCAACATCTGAGGGAACAAAGCATTAAGCAACAGCTTTTGTGAGGTAAGGGTTAGTTGTCATCTGCTTAGGAGTAAAACCTCAGAAGCTGGGGAAGCCCGAGTAAAGAAGGGCTGAAGGAAAACAGCGGGCTTCCTTCAGATGGCAGATGTAAGTTTCTGAGAGACAGATGATCACTTTGAGAATTTATTAGGCTGGGCCTGGATCAGCTAGATTTATTCTGACTAAAGAAAAACTGAGGAGGGAACTGGATATTTATGCCCAGTGTGTTATTAATACCTTTCAGAGGAAGGGAGCCAGTGTCTTGAGTTGGTGTAAAAGACTGTCCTCTGCAAGGTCTTACCAGAAGATCATGACTCGTGTGGATTTTAATAGTTGGTTAAACTGTCCAAGCAGCCAAGAATACAACCAGAGGAGTTTTAGGGATTGTCCCCAGTAAGTGTACTGGGTTGTGAGAGCATTTGGCTGGGGTGGAAGTTTAGGCAATTTGGCTTGAGGTTCTATTCAATTTGGCTTCTAATTAGAAGCTGATGTCAGCAAAGGTGTTTGTTGAATCTTCAGAAATTGTCAACAAACACTGTTAAGATCCCAATATCTCTCACTCTGTGTGTGTGTGTGTGTGTGTGTGTGTGTGCACGTGCACATACACACCCTTTAATAAATCACCTGTCTTAATTAAATGGTCATACTGTCTTTAATGTTTGCATCCATCTTACACCTAAACCGACTATAACCGCTGCTAGGAGGTTTTTGAAAGCATTGTGAATTAATTAATGGCATCTGAAAGTTAAAGAAGCATAGATACCTTAAACCTATGTTTGTATAAACCTCACTTGGTATAGAGGTTGAAGAAACCAGTATCCCTGACAGGTGCCATGTGAACAGTACAGAACACAGCATATAAATACTTTTTTAAAAATAGCGTAATGAGAGTTGTTTTTTAAAAAATAATATCCGAACCCATTTTTGTGTCCGTTAGAAGATGGTGTAGCAATGGTCTTAAAGTATGCATCCTCTTACTGAGATGTTTGAAGAGTTCTCTTGACCGGTGTCTAGAAAATGCCTCTGAGCCTCAGACGCTTTTAAGCATGCATTTCCCCAAGTCTTTTTTCCCAAGCTCCAAATGGTGGCAGACTGAAATAATTGCCCCCACCCCCAGCCTTTTGTAGTGGATGAAAAGATGTTGCTATTGAATTGTCTGGCAGTTTGTGGCAGATGGTAATATGGGAGAACTTCTCTTCATTTGTAGGCAAATACAAAACGCAAAGACTACGTCGATTATCAGAAGGAAAAGGTTGCTTCCACACTTGACCGCTTGGCACGCCATGTAGAGGTAGAGAAACAACTGAAAGAAGAGAAAAATAAAGCTTTCAAGGTATGAATTTTTATTTTTACAAAAAACAATGAGGGATTATCATCTAGGTTTCAAACCACTGTTTGGCTTCAGCTGTTATTTCCAAAGCAGAGCTTGTTTGTTTTTTTAAAAAGATTAAATGGCCTATGTTGGGTAATGTTTCCAGCTAGATTTTTCTCTTCTGGTTCCAAAATATCTTGGTGAGCCACCCTCCCTCATTAATCCTTGAACCTGGTTTCATGCTGCCATTGTGTCCAGTCTAGAACATTGTGTCCACCGGTACTCATTAGTCCTTCCCATGAGTTCAGCCTCTCAGTAACTACTGTACATTTGTTTATGTAGTACATTGCCAGGTTGTGCTCTTCCACATTTCCCTCAGTGCTCTACTCTTTCTGAAACTTTATAGTCACATGGATCAGTTACTCTTTTTTATTATTTTAATGACCACATGCTATGGTTCATGTGCGGTCGTGATGGCTGTGGCAGAAAGCGCTAATGAGGGTGGACCTTGTGGCGCTGTTTTCCAGCATTTCCTCCACCTATGAAGCCTGAGGCTTTAAAGATGGGAAGTTGGCATGCTTAGGAATATATGACACTATCCATTTGCCTAGGGTAAATCTGTCCATGTTTTTTGCTGTTAATCATTGTGTTAAATATAGCATGCAGGCTTCTTAGCTTGTTAAGGTAGCCTTTTCCAAATGACTCCTTGTTCTAGGGTCAGATTCTGGCAAACAAGTGTTGACCCCTCTCTAACAATTGAAATTCAGCCAGCACAGGCTATTGGGGATTCTGCAAAGAGATAGTGGTTATAATATGTAAAACTACTCATCTCACGAATAACTGCAGAGGTCAAACTGTAATTTTAAGCCTGGACCAAAGAAGTAGTTCAGTTCAATTTAGTTTACTGTGTTTTAGCAAACAGCCATTACACTAATAATAATAATAATAATACTCCCCAACCTTAGAGGACAAATTATTTCCCATGCCCTCCTTCAGATTTTGTTACATGAGTTTGTAGAGCCTTAGTAAGAAATGTGGGTGTTCTGAAGGATATATACTTCTTTACATCAGACAAAAGTAAACAGGCCTTTGCAAGAGATGGCCTTCCCTTCTCTGATCTTAACAATGGGTGGATGTAGTTGGTTCTAAGATTGTTATAAAAAGAGCATTCAAGGAGTACAAAACATATACCATAGTTTTCCGTGTATAAGATGCTGTTTTGTTTTTGTTTTTATTTTTTTTAAAAAAATGTTCCAAATTGGGGGTTGTTTTATACATGGATAGTGCAGAGGGGGGACGAGCGTTTGATTGCAGCCGCGAGCAGGAGATGTAAGCGGTGATTTGGAGGGTGATTGGTGGCTGCGTCAAGGGCTGCTGTTGATTGGCTGCCACTGCATCAATATGGCAGGTAATTGGTGGCTGTTGACAGCGAGCGGGCAGACAGTTGTTGGCTTCGTTGACACATGTGGCTGGCAGCGTTGGTTAGGCGGGTGAGCGATTATCACAACCCCCCCAAAAAAGCTCAACAACGGTGGGCAACCCCCCCCCCATTTCTTAATTTTGAGTCCCCCCATAATAGGGGCTGTCTTATACATGGGGGCGTGTTATACACGGGAAAATATGGTACCTTGTTGAGGAACTGGCAAAGCTGTAGTTCAGTGGTGGATCTGCTTTCCATGCAGAAAGTGCCAGATACAGTCTTGGACATCTCTGGGTGGGGCTGAGAGAGGCACCTTGTCTGAAACTCTGGAGAGCCGCTGCCAGTCAGTACAGCGAATGCTTTGAGCTTGTATGTGTATATATGCTTTTCGTATTGGCGGTAAATCAGTGCAACTAATTGCACACGCTGTCTTCCGGCTGCTGGTACCATTAGGAAAAACTGGATTTGCAACATGCTCACGGACTGCAAGAGCTGGAATTTATCCAGGGACATAGTGACACAGAAGCAGCAAGGCAGTGCGTGAACCAGTGGCTGAAAATGCCAGGTAATGTATTGGTACCGTCGTTTCACCATTCAGAGGGATGCACAGTTCTTCCGGGTGAATAGTTCTACCTTAGTTACAGTCGATCGCTTCTCCCTTTCAGACACATGTAGAGGAGTAAGCAAGGTACGGGTAGCCTTCACAGGAGAAACATGGGAGGTGTTTGAGCTTCATCCTTTTGCTCCATACAGTGATGGGGAAGTTTTGGCTCTCTAGCTGTTGCTAGACTGCAGCTCCCATCGTCTCCCTGACCGTTGCCTATTCTGGCTGGACTAGCGGAAGTTGTTGCCCAACAACTGGAGAGTTGCAAGTTCCCCATCACTGCTGTAAGGAGATGCTGTAGCTTAGTACATTTGATATATTAAGAAGTATGTCCTATCTTTTCTCCTAGAAGAGCCTGGGGCAGCTAAATACTTACATAGCACTTTCTGGATGTGCAAAGCACTGCAGATGAGGAGCCCAAGCTCCACTCACTGTGCCTGCAGCTAAAGAATAATTAGCAGCAGGGCTGAGGGGTGGGTGTGTGTGCGCGCGCATTTGGCAGGCTTGTTCTTCAGAGCCTCTTTTCCCTGTGTAGTCCTGCCTACCCACCTTAGTCTGTCTTAGCTCTGGTAAGTTCCATCATGTGGAACAAGCCAACCTAGGAATGCAGAATTACTTGCTGTGACTGGGCGCTCCAGGATGTCACCATGAGGCATCCATAGCCACATCTTACGTGAACCACTCAGCCACTGCTCACCTCATTCATCCGTGCTAGCAGATTCACTTGGATTATGGTGGCAGGTCTCCTGTTAGCCCAGTGTCAGGAATGGGTGTGTTGCTGTGTTCTTTCCTTTCCTAGAGGTTCACATATTCACGAGTCGAGTTTTGTGCTGGATGAAAAATGAGGGAAAGATTTAGCAAGGGCAGTGTAGTCAGTCTCATGCGTTTTAAACAAAAGAAGCGGTGTGACGTTGCAGCAGTGTGATCTATTTTCTAACCTGTCTTTGAGCATCAACTACATGATGTACAGTGGTGCCTCGCAAGACGAAATTAATCCGTTCCGCGAGTCTCTTCGTCTTGCGGTTTTTTCGTCTTGCAAAGCATGGCTATTAGCGGCTTAGCGGCTATTAAAGGCTTAGCGGCTATTAGCGGCTTTAAGAAAAAGGAAACAAACTCGCAAGAACTCGCAAGACGTTTCGTCTTGCGAAGCAAGCCCATAGGGAAATACGTCTTGCGGAACGACTCAAAAAACGGAAAACCCTTTTGTCTAGCGAGTTTTTCGTCTTGCGAGGCATTCGTCTTGCGGGGCACCACTGTATTAAGTAATTTTGTTTCACGTTTTAGGTCTCAAGCCAGGCACTGTAAACTCTGGAAGGAGAGCATTACCTCAGAGATCAGACCAAATACAATCTGACAGTAAATCAATTTTTATAATGCATTGCTACAGAAAATTTGACAACAGGCATCTTCTCCTGGGCCACCTTCAGAGGTACGAGTTTTTTAGTTTGATCAGGAAATAGGTTGCTAGACTGCCTGAACATGGGACACGGTGTCTTACAGGTAGTCTCAAATGTGCAGTGCACTGATAGTTGCTCTGCAGAAATTTTATGCCTCTAGATGCCAGGAAACGTTCACTTTTTGCAAGTATATTCAGACTTCACATATGTTTTAGTAAGCAGGTTTTTTTTTCTAAACCTGTTGTTGTTGTAATGGGCAACCTCTAAAGGTTTTCTTATTGTTCATAGGTATTATTTAATCATGCAAATTTATTTCTTTAGGTTTGATCATTCTCCATGCGATCCATCAATTACACTACATGGATGTCCAGCTGATGCATTTGCCTGCATAGTCTGCAACAGAAGATTCCCAACGTCTCAGCTATATAATGAGCACGTTTCTTCTAAGGCAAGAATTTAAGAAAATGCATGTTTTCACCAAAGTAGCAGGGAAAAAAAATCTCCCCTCAGAAGAGTCCCATTTCATAAACTCATATACGAATCTTTGCAGGGATTTTACTGCTCAGGTTTGGCTTTTGATAATTTCCCAAATCCAGAAAAAAAAATAATCTGCTGCTTGTAGGTGGTTGTGGCTCATAAATGGAGCAGGTATTAGTTGATATATTTTGAGATGTGCTTTTAGTTTTAAGAGCAAATTTCCATAGCATCTTATAGAAAATGTTCTTCATAATGTTGGAAAACAAATGTTCTCCGTTTGTCTAAAATTGAGTTATTGTTTTGTTTCTTCCCACCCCCTCAAGGCAAGTGAAGGTGATGGCCATGAAAAGAAATACCCTCCTCAGCATATTCAGTGCTTTGCATGTCCATGTTGCTTTCTCCTTTTTAGCATGAGAGATGAGTGTCTGCAGCATATGTCTGAAAAGAATCACTTCTCTCAGGCTTTTAAACTCAGTGGTATGTCTCTTTTGAAATGTATATATTTTTCCATCTGAAATGACTGGATACTGCATGATTTGAGGGGAATGTGGTAAAATACATTGAAATTTACATCACTGATCAAGATGATAATGTTACTTTAAGGAAGTGTCCTTAGCTCCATGCCAAGTATGCTGAATCTGCTTTCTAGAATGCCTTCATTCCCCACTTCCTTGTGCATTGCCACCGATGCAAATTCTTCCCAGACTCTGTAAGCTAAGATGGGTTTTATCCTTCCTGAATATTTCAAGTAAAAAGATTTGGCAGGTCAGTCAGACTTTCAAGGTTATAAACAATTTCCTGTTTGCTCATGTAAGATAATTAAAATGTAAAACATAATGTGCGTATGTTGGACAGAAAAGAACCTGAAGCTAATATATAGAACAGCACAATTTGATTTAGCTAATTTTGCTAGTCTGATAAAACAAGGAAATATATATATATATATATATAGAGAGAGAGAGAGAGAGAGAGAATGTTGCCAGGGAAGGATTTTTTTCCAGAGCAATGACTGTCATAGAGGACAGCTAACGTGGCTGAGGTTTAGGGTATTGTTCCCTCTAGTATGCAAGGTCCATAAAATATATACGGTACTGCTTAAAATTTAGGATATTTCTGGGTACAGCCATGTGATGGGTGCCTTTCTGTAATTTGGTTTCTCATGTTATATCAAAGTATATTAGTTTTGCCCTTCTTCCTGGCAGCTAATAAATTTTGAAACGAGTGCAAAGTAACTAAGCAGCTTTAAAAAACTGTCCCTGCACTCCTGTCCTGACCAGTCTAAACATAGTAGGACCAAAAACATCACTCTTGGAAAACTTCTTTAAAATGCTCAGATTTGACTCTTGAGTGTGTGACATTTCTCAGGAACCAAGTGATGTTTGTTAACCCATTCTTAACTGCCTGGTCTTGGTGCATTGTTGACATGATTCTCTTACTTGAATCATTTGTAACCTTTGATTCTTCTCCTTGTACCACCTAGTTGTTCCTCAAAATAAGTTTTGTATGTTGACTGACTGGAAATGGACAACAGGTTGCAACAAACCCTTAAGTCAAGGGACGACAGCCTGTGGCCATCTAGAATCTATGTTGTTGGATTCCCAACTCTGGTCTGCAGATGGTTAGGACTGGTGGAGCATCACTGCTCGAGTGTGATTGTGGCCTAGATGCCACCGGGCCATGCTTGCTGTGCGCCACTTCCTTGCTCTGGTGGAGGAGGGGGACACCAGCATGTGGTGGCCTTCCTTTTGGGAAGTGAATAATGTCTGGTCCTTTCTGACTCAGTGGTACAATAACTCTGTGCATTCCGTTGCAGATAAAGCAACACAACCACAACCTTTGCCATTCCAACCTATGCAAAGAATCTTCTGATCTCCTTGTGCAAAGAAATCCCGTTCCAAGTGAAGTGCACGTCCTGCCATCAGGTGTTGCGTTCTCATGTGGAGCTAACAGCACACTTCAGGTCTGACAAGAGCCTTCCTGTTTGTAGAATGGGACTGCTTTCTCTGTTTCTCCTTTAAACATTCGT